GGTGACACACTCGGACGAATAAATCTCTTTTCAAGTAGATCTTCAAGTTGACTCTTCAATTCTTTCAATTCCGATGCGGACATACGATATGGAGCCATCGATGTCGGACTAGTTCTAGGAGTTAAGTCGATCGTAAACTCCACTTCTCGTTCCGGCGGTAAATCTCTTAACTCATCGGGAAAAACTTTCGGAAAATCACGGGCAATTGGTAAAGCATCTATTTCTACATCTTCACCAATACTCAAAGTTTCCATCAACAAAAATACCTCCGCACCATCTTGCACTGCTCCCTTCACTTGCTTAGCAGTTATAAATAAATCTCCTTCATCACCAGGTTCAGGAAAGATAACTGTTTTGTCAAAACAATTAATATAAACACGATTGAATTCCAACCAATTCATCCCAAGAATAACATCAAGTTGATCTAAATGAAAACACACTAAATCAACTCCGAAGTCTTTACCAAAAATACTCAATAGACAATTCAAACACACGAAAGGGGTAGTTACTGAACCCATAGCAGGAGTATCAATAACTATACCACTACTCATAATCGACAACTCAAGATTTAATCTCTTAACACAATCCAAAGAAATAAAAGAAGGTATAGCTCCAGTATCAATTATAGCAATCAAAGGTATACCACTAATGAAGCACATACTTCAGATCAATCGATCTTCACTATCAGTCTCTGATCCTGATAGAGCAAACACTTTCCCATTCCCTTGAGTCTTTTTTGGCTTGTCACACTTGGTACTAATGTGCCCTTGCTCACCACAGTTGTAGCAAGTCACATTCGCACCGCTTCTGCACTCAAGAGCTTTGTGGTCTGGCTTTCCACACTTGAAACATTTTGGCTCAATGCTTTTGCACTCAGGAGCACGATATCCTTCTCCACATTGAATATGCATTTGGTACTAATATTGCATACAATCGATATGCATTCACATCATCGTGCATTTTTAATCAATTTAAACAATGCATTGAATATGCCAAAAGGCTACATTTCATAATCGATTTCACAATCTAGGATTCACGCCATACGGCTACCCACAGCATAACATATCACAACAGTACACAAACTATTCATTTCCAATAAGGATGGAGCACAATTGAACCAAACAATCAACATTGGATGGAAAACACAAAGAAATAAAAATGTTGTGACACTCGCTGGCTTGCTCGCCTAGCGAGTCCCTAGAGAACACTCGCTACCTATTCGCCTAGAGAACAAGCTCTCGAAGGAAAATAGAAGCTACTGTAAGGCTTCGCTACCTACTCGCTACAGCAAACACTCGCGACCTACTCGCCTAGCAAAGGTGCTAGCGAATGTCTGCGATGTTCAAAACCCTCACTGTCCAAAATTCCTCAGAAGCTCCCAAATCACCCGATTCAATTCCAACGAGTTCCAGTAGTCTTAGCCTAACATTCCTCGACTAATATACATCATTTATTCCAGATTTTAACCGTTCAAACATCGATTCTACCGATTAAATCTATTTCTGCCCTAGAATGAAAAATGGAGAAAACATCCAAACAATCCAAACAATCCATACATAAACATACACATTGACAAGATAATAATATTTCACACCCTTACCTTGATTAAATCGGTTCTTGAGAGTTGATCTTGATGAATCCAAGTTTTCCTCCTTTTTCCTTCTCTTCTCTCTTCTTTCTCTACTCTTTCCCTTATGTTTCTATTCTTCTCTTTTCTTTCCACTTTTCCGTATATGTCTTTCTCTTCTATTTTCTTCCATCACATTTCTTCTCTCAAAAAATCTATCAATAATTCCAATAATTAAAATCATCCAAATAAATCAATTAATTAATATGAATAATTAATTACTGAAAATTGGGTTGTTACACAGATGTCACAACAGAGGTCATGACGTTGGTCATGACATCGTTAATTCTTAAAGGAATTTAAATTGGTCATGGTCTGTCCTTGTTGAGCAGAGATCAATGTTCTTGGGACATATGAGATCTGCATACCAGAATTTCAACGGTAGTCTAAAGTTTGATCGTTCCTTCAGTGAAATATCCTTTTCTTACAAATACATCATTACGAATCAATATTAGTTTGTCCGATTCATATACAGGTGTAATTCCCGGTTTTCCCAACAAGTCCCCACTAACAAGGTTCCTATTCATATCAGGGACATGAAACACATTAACAAGAGTGACCTTTTTTCCGGAAGTGAAGTTGAGTTCGACGGATCCTGTTCCAACGACTCTAGATCATACTTCATTTCTCATTTTTACTTATTGTCCATCTTTAACTTTACAATATGCTTTAAATGTTGCTTTTTCATAAGATACATGTACTGCTGCACATGTATCATACCACCATCCTTACATTTTTCCTTTAATTTCCATAATTTTGCTCACTGTATTGACTATGTCTTCATCAGCATGAACAACATTAACTTCAATTTTGGGTTTTTTGTGCCTGCAGTCTCGAGCATAGTGGTCTGGTTTTCCGCATGCATAGCAGCCGCTTTTTATTCCCTTTGGTTCGCTAGAATTCTTGAACTTGTAATGTTCCTTCTTAGGGCCAAGATGGTTCTTCGTGCTATCATGTTTTCTCTTTCCTTTTTCAGTAACAACATTGGCTTTAGGAAATCTAGATGACTCATTTTTCTCTATCCTTCGTCTCCTCCTCAACTCGAAGGTGTTTCTGAAGTTTCTCCAACGAGTAATCCTCAAAACTATGCAATAATTTCTTTCTGTAGCCTTCCACGTAGGTGGCAATTATGCAATAATTGCACCGACTTGAAAAGATTTTGGAATGTCTATTTTCATAACTTTTATTTTATTCAGAATCGGTTTGGAGTCCAACATTTTAAAATCAAAGTATTTAGATATTAAAAACTTTTTCGTACCTTCTTCTTCAGCCTTGAATTTGAAATTGAGTGCTTTCCAGATCTATGTTCCAGATTGGATATCAGTGTATAGATCATAGAGACGATTAGGTAGTGTGTTCACAATATGTCCACGACATAGAAATTCATCTTCCTTTTGTTTCTTTCGTTCGTTTTTTTTACTTCATTAGTATCATTTTTTGTTGGTTCTGGAATTGGTGTTGAATCAAGATCTAAGACATAGTAAATCTTTAGGGCAGTCAGGAGAAATGTCATTTTGTCTTGCCAGTGGATGAAGTTTGTTCCATCGAAACGATCAAACATGACAACGTTCTGGTTCATCACTTTGATGCTTGAAACTGAAGCGTGTCAGTGGCCACAATTTGAGATACTATAAGACTATTAGATAACGTTTCGAGATTAAATGGATTCATGCTGGAATCGTGAAGGAATTCCTTTCCTTATAGTATTTCAAACACTCTTAGATGTCTTAGTGTTTTTATACAGGAATACCCAAGCTAATTCAGTCTCCTCGAGTTTGCACAAGACAGATGAAAACTCGAATGTAGAAAAGAGTGTTTAAAATTTATTCTAGAAGATATGTGTTTTGGTTATGATTTATCTAAATGCAGAATGAAGTATTTATATGTCATATTAGTGTTGTTTCACAAGGTTACTACCCTTGGTGAAAACAACTTTACAGTAATATTTTTACCAAAAGTTACAATATTTCACCTACAGTAACACTTTTCAAGAGTTACATATTTTCATAAGTGTCACCGTTAGCACCTATACGCCCTCGAACTCGAAGCCGAATGCAACACTAGCGATGGGTTGTATGGAGGAGACAAGTGGCATAATGTTTAAGACTACCACACTTGTCCAAGTGACACTTTATTCTTTTTTTATCATTTTGTTGAGTTAATAAACATAACTCTTTGTAAAGACTTTTAATGTGCATATCACTTTCTATATGAGTATTTACCATGCATTTATTCACTTCCACTTTTCTTGTCATTTTATAACATACAAATCATAATTTATTGTTTATAAACTATAACAATATATTATTCAACCAAATTTCCACTTTTCTTGTCATTTTATAACATACCAATTATAATTTATTGTTTATAAATTATAACAATATATTATTCAACCAAATTTTCACTATGTCTGCACAGAAGTAAAAATTACTCACTTCGTCTCACAATAGGTGTCCTCTTTTCTATTTTTATTTGTCTCAAATTATTTATCTCTTTAGAATGACTGTGTGATATTTATTTATTTTTCACTAACTTATCATTATTTATTGTATTTTAACCCATATAACAGCTCCATTGTCTATTATTAATAATAATAAGATTATGATACTTATTTTTATTTTTATCATTGAAATCAATACAATTAATCATAAAAATGATAAAAATCTCAAAGAACACCTATTGTGAGACAAAGAGTAGTAGTTTACACATATAGGTTATAGATTTTGAACATGTTTAACACAGGAATTTTGAACATGTTTTAACACAGGAATATTTTTTATATGTTGTCTAGATTCAGGTTGTGCGGTCTTAAGCACACCGACAGTTTTAATATGATTACAATGCACAAAAATTTGTAATTTGTATAAATAAATGTGTTTGGTTCATTCAAAAAACAATGAACTTTTACTACATAATTGAAATAAACTCTAACCTATATACAATTTAATACAACAATTAAACTTCCAATTTGTTTATAATCAATGTTGATTGTGATTTAAATGATCTACTGGATCAACTGAACTCTTAACTTGAAAATGAAGAAAAAGATTTGTTCACCAAAAGTTTTGAAAATGAAGAAAAAGAATGATCTAGCTGATTTTACACTAATAAAACAAATTAACTATTGTTACATATGCTAACCAATAACAAAAAGCAACTAGAAGAGGTTACTAACTTATTGTGAACATTCTCAATTTCAAAGAATAGAAAATTCAAGCCAGCTCAATTTACATTCAGTAACTCTTGCCAGGAATGTCAATTATATTGAATCCTGCTAGTAACGCTGAACAGCCTAAACATGTCTGCTTCAGCCACCACATAGTCATGAAACTGATGAAATAACTTATGGATCGCCGGGAGATGGAGTGATTGTTTATTCAACGATATCAGCTATGATTGGTGGAACAAATCTGCCATTCTCAAGTGTTTGCTCAAAGATATGTCCCACTCTCAGCAGCTCTCCCTGCAAATTAATTCCAAGCCAAAGGATGATTTTATTGGTCAATGAAAACAAAACAAAAATCTTTTATGACAATGTCGATCAAGTACACTTTTATATGACAACTTAATTACATGATTATCATGTAAGTGGTTATGTATAAACTATTTCTATAACAAAAGATAAAATAAAGTCAAACAGTTATCTGTAATGTTTTTATAAGCTATACTGGAAAGCTTATAGAAGTAATCTGAAAGTAGCTTATGAACAATAGGTTGTTTCCACTAGCTCTCACAAACTATTTCGCAAGTGTTTATGTTAGTAAATAAGCTCAAATAAGTCAATCCAAACATGCCTTTAGAAGTGAGTAATAACACAGATGAGGAATTTTAATCAAAATGATAGGAGCTGGACTGAGATAATTATAAGAAATACGCCATGTTGCCTATGAATAAGAAGAGAAATAAAGAGGGAGAGGAATCAAGTCATTTGAGTAAAGAAATTTGGTGGTGGGGTGGGGGAACTTAGGAGGAACAAACCCTTGAAGTTCTGTAACATCTTTCTGAAATTGAAGGAGGTTTTAACTGTTTTTAAGAATAAGTTACCGGGTTTTTGTCGACTGGTATCAGATCTCTGATCACAGATACTTCTCCACAACTTTTGTGAAAGAAACTTTGTATGGCATTATAGTAAAAAACAGGGAAAACCCCCTCTCCCCAAAATTACAGGAGTTGCAGAATGATTAATCTTTTCTTGATATTCTAAAGTGACAAATAATTTGGGACAAATAAATACTCCTGAAAACAAGACAGATAATATGAGACAAAGGGAGTACATACATCTCTCATTTGATGAACATGCTCTATAGCACTGACACCTCGGAAAAAAGGTGTGTCCGTGTCAGTGTCGGATACTGACATTTGTGTTTACATTCAATTTTTTTCATTTTTTCAAGTTATTACAGATGTCAACATATCAGTGTCGGTGTCATGTCCAGTATTCGTGTCTGTGTCTCGTGCTTCATAGATAACATGGCTTTATTTTTCTTAATGAGGTCTTGTTAAATCTCCTTCAAATTAAAGTGCTAATAATCTTTAGGTCATAAAGATTTGCCTCTTTAATACCTTGAAGAAAGGAAGACTAGAAAAGAAAAGAAAACTAGAGGATACATAGCTAGGAAAACTCAATACCTCGTCAAATGCTGCACCAATCATTTGCAGGCCAACAGGAAGGCCGGCAGTTCCATTCTCAATAAATCCACAAGGTAAAACCAAGGCAGGCAGTCCAGCTAGGTTGACATTTACCTACAAATAGAGAAACAGCCAATAGAGAAGGGAAAACTTTATACTTGGCATGTTCATGTAAATAAAGTAGCTAGAAATGAAATTATAAACAATGCACAAAGAATATCAAACTCTAAACCACCGAGGTAATTAACTAGTTTTCCAACTTAATAAAAATATATTACGATCTTTATATTTATTATATAGGGTATCTATCATATCACATCTTGTAAACAGGAAAAATATTCATACTTAAATGTTGTATTTATTGCTTGAACCTTATAAAAACCGACTCTACTGTGTAGTTGAGACGCACAGATTCACAACATCACAGCTCTACTTTTTCTAATTCAACACAACTTATGCTGAATGACATAATTTGACAGGGATATTCCTTTACAGAGTAACTATAATTCACAATACTATATAACTGACACATGCTGAGGCACTAATACAATACAACATCCCTGCAGTTAATGGTTAATGATGATAATTCTTGGACCATTTAGATCATTGTTGTTAAATAGACGCTATATCGGCTTTCAGGCTATAGTGTAGCATAATTTGGACAAACTACTATTGTTCTGCAATATGCCATGAAGTACAAAATGTTGTTAAATAGCCGCTATGGCGGCACAATAGCACTAATGCATACCAGAATTTTAACAATATGTAATTGGCAACACTGGTTTAGATTGAAAATCTATTATCTAAGGCATAAACAAGCAGTGCTGCGGCCAGCTCAATGACTCAAACCCTAAGCTTTAGTTACTCATGTATGAATCAGAGTTGTCGATAGCGGCACTATCCCGGGATAGCGGCCCGGAGCGATGACCCTCCGACTCCATTATGGAGGAGCGGTTCGCTTCTCAGTTTGAAATAGCTGCCGCTATTTGATGTTTAGCAGGAAGCAGGAGTGGAGCGCTTCCGGCCTGAGCGGGTTTGAACTGTTTTGAATGCAAAAATAGTCCAATAGTGGTTATCTCACTATCCCATTTTTGAGGTCGGCCGCTCCGCTCCGCTATATGGGATTGATAACTCTGGTATGAATCAAGTTTAAGTTCCATGTAGTTTAAATTGAATAGCACAAATCCAAACCTCGTCCAAACACTGTTGAGCTCACATTCAATTAGAAGTATGAGACAGAAATTTAGCGAATAAGAAGAATAAAATACTCACAGTCATGATGTCACCAGCATACATAGCCAAAGGATCATTTTTCTTTTCACCTGCAAATGTCAAAGACAATGAACAGTTACTACTGCAGGCATTAACTTGCAATTATGCCAACGGAGAGATATGCAGATGCCTACCAATTTTATAAGCAGCTGAAGGAGCTGCAGGAGAAATCAAGATATCATTTTGATCCAGTGCCTCTTTAAAGCTATTCCTTATAATGGTTCTCACCTGCAACATATAACAGACATAAAACATCTTCTTGAAGATCCCAAACCTCTAAACAAAAATGAAACTTAGAATATTGACAAGACAACCTAGGAAATGAAACAATAGTATGACTATAACAGCAATATTTATATTTAGTAACATTATATTCTAAAAGACACAACAAGAGTGGACATATATTGCGTATGGGTGAAATATTGAAACGTTAACTTCTTTAAGCTACGTGTATTTATCTTGGGTGAAGACTTGAGAGGTACTTGAGAGGTAGATCCGTCCTACCAATAAAAACATAAAATAAAGCTAGCAGTACCTGCTGTGCTCGCTTGTAATATGCATCATAGTAACCAGCTGAAAGGGCATACGTCCCCATCAAAATTCTCATTTTCACCTGAAATGTATAAAAAATAGAAAGCCAACTCAAAATAGGAATAAATACAAAAATGGACTATTTCTTTTACATAGATATAAGTAAGGCTATCAAAAATCTTGCAGCCAAATTTGAAATTAAGAAAGGTTGAAGGATGTGCACCTCAGAACCTAACCCTTTGGCCCGGGAATCTCCATAAAGAGAGCCTAACTCATCAGCATAAACTTGGTTTCCATATCTAGATATAGAGAAGATGGATCCAAGCCAAGCAAAATGATTTATCAATGAAAATAAAGCACACAAAAAAAAACACTTAGTTGAGTTGTGTGAAATTGAATATTTGGAGGAAGAGAGAGAGGGGTACACGGGGAGTCAGCCACTGACCTGATACCATCATAGCGAGACAAGTTGGAAGATGATTCAGACAAAGCAAGAATATAATAAGCTGGCAATCCAAGCGAAAAGGATGGCAGCGACACCTGTAAGTTAATGGACAAATGAAAAGGATGAATTAATAAACGAATAAATTGTAATAATATGAGCCTGTAGCGAAACTACAGAAATATCATTCAGATTAGAGTTATAAAAGAAAAAAAATGAAGCGAAGGACCTCATTAACAGAGCATCCTAATTCCTCAAAATGTGAAGCAGCAGCACGAATTGTAGAAACTACTCCAGCGTCAACACCATCTTCAATAGTTTCACGGATCAAACCAATCCTCAGCCCTTTCAAGGGCTTACTTTCCAAAGAACTTGCAAAGTCAAAATGAGATAGAAAGTTGGGCACCTCCTGAAAAATTATATTATTATTATTAACTATTCATTGTTGGAAAGAAATTGGTTTAATAACAAAGATAAAACCCCATAAACACTAACAATAAATTCAGAAAATACCTATCATATTGAACAGAGATTATACCAAACATTGTCAATAATCATTGCTAATAATGAGATATTAGAAAGCTTACAACATTTATACTAAACATGGTGAAGAACTAATACTTGTTTACTTGAGGTGGCATCAAATCTATCATGACCAGCAATTGCATGAAGGAGAATCCCAGTATCAGCGACGGATGAACCAAAGCAGCCAATGGCATCAAGCGATGATGCATACGCCATAAGTCCAAATCTTGAGACACGCCCATATGTTGGCTTCAAACCTACGACGCCACAAAAAGATGCCGGCTGCCTCACACTTCCACCAGTATCACTTCCCAACGATACAACACACTGCCTGGCAGAAACTGCAGCTGCCGATCCTCCGGATGATCCTCCTGGTACCCTAGAAACATCCCACGGGTTGGCAGTTACCTATTGAATGAACATAGGCATCACCTGAGTAAACATATTCCAGTTACAAATGGGCAAAACAAGTAATAAACTAGAAACCAGATTATAAAAGCTTAGCCTACCCACGCACAGACTGAGAATAAAGATCACAATCCCACTTTTTGTATATTTTGCAATAACAGAAATACAAATTTAGCACTGTGTCACTTTATGGATCCATATGCACCACTTTTTATGCATCCATCCGGCCATTCATCAACAATTTTCAGCTGACCCAGGTCCTCTATAATCTCTCTCTAAATCCCACAGTCCCTACAGGGGATCCCATTTTCAATTTTAATTCTTCTCATTTTCTCTCCTTACCAAATGTAGAATTCCTGCTCACGACCTTAATTCAATTGCTAAACACAAGATATCTAAAACAAGTAACTACATACTGTCACCACTCACAGCATCTCGCATTCATTACCAATACTACAAACTGGACATTTGAAATTTGAGAGAAACATTCTTAGATACCCCTAGACACTGTTCTTTTTTCACACAAATCAATGCGTGCGACATCAGCCAAGTGGATCATAAAACATCATGATTCCTCACCAACGCTAAGCCCACATTAATGTATCTAAGAATCTCCTATATAGAAAACATCAACAATATTAAAATATATATCTCAAACCAAAAAAATAAGGTTAGTAATACAGACTTAATTTAAATTCAGCATGAATGGCCCCTCAAACCGGAAAAGAAAAACACATTGATCTTAAAAATCAACAAAAAAAACAATCAGGTAAAAAGAGAACAAACAGAAATGTACTACAATTAAGACGGGAAGAAAAGTAGACAATGGTAAAACAAAATGCACAGGGCTGAGTTATGAGAATCCTCAACACAACGCCCAACATTTTAAAACACTGTCCAATACCGAGAAAACAACCGCGAGAAAACGGTATCGGAAGGTGGAGATACCAATACCATTTTTAAGACAAAGAACAAATTATGATTAATTCACACCACGACGGCCGCAATCAACCTGTACACGTCCGAAATCATTTATATAAGTTCTAAGGAACTAAGAACTCAATCATTTATATAAGCATTGACAGAGGAATCTACTTAACCCATAGGTATTGAGACAGGGGAAGAAAAGTAGACAATGCTAAAACAAAATGCTCATGGCTCAGAGATCAGAAACCCCTCAACACAACACCCAACGTTTTAAAACACTGTCCGATACTGCAAAAACTACCACGACAAAACGGTATCGGAAGGTGGAGATACCGATACCATTTTTAAGACAAAGAACAATTTATGGTTAATTAACACCGCGACGGCCGCAATCGTCCTGTACACTACTGAAGCGACAGTTATTTAAAACCTTCCTGATTATCAAAGAAATCACCACCATCATTCCTTTGTAAACAAATAATCTTCCAAAATGGATTGAATTAAAATTAACTGGGAATGATGATTCATACTAGTGTACAGAAAAAGAAGGAAAAGATACTAACTTAAGATTAAACACGCTCACAGAGAGAAACAGATACTGAAATTCACTACGAATTATGATTCAAAGTTTCAATCTAGGGTACGGGAATTAAAAAAAAACTGAGTTCAAATTGAACGGATATATAGAAAGAGAACCTGAAATGCAGAGGCTTCAGTGGTGCTACCCATACCAAACTCATCCATATTAGTTTTCCCAACAACAATGCCACCCAATTCCTTCACTCTCTTCACGGCAGTAGCATCAAACGGCGGCCGGTAATTCTCAAGTATCCGAGAGCCGCCAGTAGACGGCATGTCAGCTGTACAAATATTATCCTTAACAGCAACAAGGACGCCGGCGAGAGGACCAACGTCTTCCCCAGCGGCGATTCTGCGATCAAGGTCATGGGCTTGGGCGATAAGAGTCTGGTCGTCGGGGAGATGGAGGAAGGAGCGGAGGTGAGGCTCAGTGAGACGGAGGCGCGTGAGGTGGGAGCGGACTAGGTCGACGGCGGAGAGGTTGCGGGAGAGGAGGGAGTGGCGGGTTGAGAGGATTTGGGAGTGTGGTGGGGAGGTGGCTGGGGATTGCGTGGTGAGAGAAGCTTGTGGGAGAGTTTGGGAGTGGGAGGTGAAGGTAGTGATGGTGGATGGGATAGAGAAACGAGAGAGGGTGGAACGAGGGGTTTGAAGTGTGGATAGCATTTTCATTTTGCTCGTCTAACGTGACTCCGTGAGAGAAAATAGAACATATAACAACCCAAGCACTAAGACTTTAGAAGTAGAAATTTGGCTTATTTTAAATATTATGAATTTTTATAATATTAATAAGGGAAAGGTTAACAGTGCCCTCAGGTATTTTTTAAAACTTTAAATAGTAAATTTTTATAAAAATATGTACAATGATGTATAATAATGTGCATTAGAAATTGAAGTGTTTAAATTTTTTAAAGAATAATTTTTTAATATGGAATGTTTAAATAATGTCTTGAGGGCACTGATTGGTTAGCAAGACCCTATTAATAAATAGTTAAATATCCCGGGTAAATGTCATTCTTTCATTATTTTTCATGAAACGTATTGGTAAAAGAATTGAATTGAGATTAAAACTTTAATTTATGGTTGTCCCTGAATAGAATCAATAATGAAGCAGACATGGAAAATTAGTCTTACAAAAATCATCTTTAAAGAAATGAAAAATACCGTTATATCAACAACATAAAATAAGTGGTTATAAAGTAACTTTTAATTTTGATAAAAAGAAATTAGAACAATAAGTAAATATCATGATCGAAAACCAACTATGTTTAATGTCACTACATGAAAATTTTAGTTTATCAAAGCGGATGATAATGCAAACTGCAATTTCTATCTACTACGATCTTTATTCGATGGTGCAGGATCATAAGTGATTGAAAATCTGCAGCTTTGCATGTAAGAAAACACAACACTAATAATGCAAATAGGTTTGAAAAAACTAAAACATTAAGACTCCCATGACAGAAGATTTCCAACATCATGTAAGTTTCTATAGCAATCTACATAAATTACATACATTTGTTTCAAAGAAGCTTGTTATATAAAAATATAAAAACAATTTTAATATAAAAAAAGTGGTAATTGCTATCAAATTGCATGAACAGAATACCTGCTGTATATAAATTAGTTAGCATGTTTAGTAAATAAATACAATGGTTTGTAAAATGGATATAAATCTCTATACTAAAAGTTATGAAAACTTTTGGAAATACTATTCACTTGCACCTCCAATATATATGTCAAACATCAAGCCGTAATTAACATATGGGAAAAGATATTTTGACACTACTTTATAACACCTACACCTAATTTTATACATAATACATACTAATTTTATTTTTTAATAATTTGTTCACCTTGATTTTTGTGCAAAACCAGTATAATTTGTTGTTATATACGTGTAGCATACATAGTGTACGAAAAAAGGTGTAAACATAGCACAGCTCTTAACATATAGAATCATCTTTGATAAAACTGTGGCTAGTTAAAACTGTGGCTAGTAGTGAATTTCAAATATCATGTACATGATATCTGTCTAATCATGTGAAATTCAATCAATATCTTATTTAATTATAATTATGTAGCCTAGCCATTAACATGTTTCACAATGAGAGCAAATATCTAATAAAACATCATCTACATGGTCTCAATGGAATTGGAAAATTCCGACATCAAGCTTTAAATAAAAGAATATAAAATAACATTGCATGTTATCCATTGCAAATTTGCTGCATAATCAAATTTAAGATTAAGATATGTACCTGGTGTTGCACCTCAAAATTTGCTCAACATTTTCTTTCATCTTGGCTTATGTTTCATAGCATTTAGCATTTGCATTTGTGTATAGCATTGGTTCTAGACATAGGATCAAGGTGTTGTATTTGCCACTCAAGATAGAAGTTTCATGTTCAAGCTCAAGCAAGGGTACATTTGCAAGTCATCAAGTCTTTATCATCATCAGAGTGGGTCTCAAAGCTCCTCGAGGGAAGAAAGTTTGTGTGTGGGTATTATCTCTTATCTTGAGGATGAGTAGAGGCACAAGAGGTCTTCTCTTTGAATGAGACATGGTTCAAGAGCTTAGTGTACACCCTGAGGGTTCTCTATGGATGTTACAAGACCACACAAATCATTGGCAAGAACCTCAGTCAGTGGATAAGAGGTTAGGGTTTCATCTGGTCAACAAAAAGTCAATTGTGGGTTCGAAGGAGTTTAAGGTTTGGTTCTTGATCATTGAAACCATGAGAGGTCATCATAAGCCATCTCTAATGTCATGTTGAAATTAAGTCAAGAAGATTCAAAAGTTCAAGAAGTTACTAAATTAGGGTTTCAAATGATTCCAAGTGTAAAATCCCCTCTTTTGGTACCTAACTTCAAAGACAAATTTCACTATGATACAAGTCTTATCTCATTTTCCAACAAACATGAGACTTGTTCTTCATCATTCAAGCTTTCTTTTGAGTACAAGAACCCATCCATTGAATTTATACATCTCAATTTATGGTGTCTACAAGTTGGTGTCACAAAATGAAGAGATTTTAGAGGCACTCAAAGTTAACTCACTTCCAAGGCATTTTTCACATGGAACCAAGCTCTTCCGCATTTTTCAACAAACACGAGAGTTATTCATCATTGTCTTAGCTTTCCAAAAAGTGTTAGAACTCATCATTCTCATGTGTGGAGCTCTAGTTATGGTCTTCACAAGGCAAGGGGAATTTTGGAAACCTAATTTTAGGTCATTCACTTCAAGGACCAATTTCATCCACTTCAAGACCTCTAATCCAATTTCTTGCCACATGAGAGTTGTGTCAAATGATCTTAACTTCATCATACACTCAAAGTCCATGGAATTTGATGAATTATGAGACCATTGAACCATAATGAGCATGAAAACTTGACTTTTTGGACCTAGTTTGAATTTCTTCCATTTCAAGTCACTAAATGAAGTTGTTTTGGATCTTTTGAGGCCATATGTAATACCCCAAAATTTTCCCTAAGATTAGTCGTGTCATCTTGCACCCCATTTCATTTTGCATTGCGTTTAACTAACCACTAACAGGTTACGTAGTCTATTGTTTTTGCAGGAGAATCACACCAGGCGCACTTTAACTGTTGAAGGGCGAAATGGTCATTTATTCACTGTTTGCTGACGGTTTAGGGAGAAGGGTCATCGTCAGAAATCCCTTGAATAATTAGAATCTCCATTTACGAGTTCCTTATCTCATTTGAGGAAGAACAAAATTTTGACGTCAGAATCTTCGAGACATAGTGATTTATTCAAAGGCCGAGACTTTGTTGTTAGGGGAGCTCTGAGATGTTGTTTTATCCTATGAGGCTGATTGTGTTGAGATGTCAGTGGTGTGGTTCAAAGCAGTGCGAGAATTCACTCTGTGGAATTTATTTTAACAGGCACTCACTTTTCTGCTTCTTCTGCTATTTGCCAGTCAATTCTTAAAGGGAAAACAATGGAAATTTCGATTTGTGTGTGGATTTATTGACCTATTTAATCGTGATTTTTTGGCCGAGTCGGTTCAGGACATGAGATTTAGTTAGCAGAGACACAATTAAATTTTTAGTACGGAGTTTAGTTCTGTTCACTGCTAATCGGATTTCTCTGCTTTTTGTTGTTTTACTTCGTTCAAGGTCGGTACCGCTTCTATCACCAGGCACAACTTAATTTGGGGAAATTTGGGTTGTTTGATCTGGTTGATGAGGTTCAATCGGAATTTGTGTCAGGAACGGGATTAGTCAGATAAATTGGAAAATTAGGAATTAATAAAAATCTGGAGTTTCATTCCATTTGTGTGTGTTAAATTAATTATATTGCACTGTACCGTCATTTTATTGTTAAACTTGTCTCATTTAATTCTATTTTATTTTTCGTTTCATTTTAAAAATAAAAGTTGTCTCATTTAAGTCTATTTTACTTTTCGTTTCATTTTAAAAATAAATCATCTCATTTTAAGTTTTATTTCATTTCAAATAGCTGATCTCATCTTAAGTTTTGTTTTCATTTTATTTTAAATAATTTCATTCTTTAAAAATAACTTTATTGCATTTGTTTACATTTTATTTTAAATTCATTCAATTTTCAATATTATTTTTATTTTCTATTTTTTCATTTGGCATAATTATAATAATAATATTTTCACAAAATAAAGAATTTTTATTAATTCTTTACACAAAAATAATAATACAGGAAATTACCCAAATAATAAAGTACATTTTCTACAAAAAAAATCATAAAGTTCCTAAGTTCTAAATTGTCCGATTTTTCCTTCGCTCCGATTCTCCGACATTTCTCCGAACCTGCAAAACAGACAAGAAGAGTAAACTTTAGTCGGTTAGTTTCGAAGCCCTCAGATTGGTATCATCATCGGGTTCGATCCTCGGCCAATGGCCAAGATTAGGCAGCTTCTGTTCTTAGAGTAGGAAACCGAGAAAGAGAAGAGGAAAATTGTTTTTTAAATAAATTGTTTGGCCAAAAAGGGATTATACAGAAAAGTGCTTATTTGAAAAGTCAGTTTGAGGAAAGTGATTGTTCCCGAAAGGCGGTTTGCCCAAAAATTGGGCCTTAACGCCAACCTTCTTGGAAAACCACTTTCAACAACAAATCCAACAAGTTTCAAACAACTCAGTTCAAATCAAATTCAGTTCAACTCAGTTCAAACAATTCGTTCAAGAGAATCAGGGTCAACAAGAAACCAGTTAAGAAACAGGTTCAACAAAAGAAACCAGTTTAGAAACAGGTCAACAAGAAACCAATTCAGAAACAGGTTCAACAAGAAACCAGTCCAGAAACAGGTTAACCAGAATCACCGAAAACCCAGCAACAGCGTCAACGGAAATCAATGTTCCGCAACACAAACCATAATCAAACCAAAAGCCAAAAATCTGGATCTCGAACCAACAGCATTCAAAGCAAACAAGTCAAAACATGCCCAACGTAACAACAATCCAACCGAATCTAGCAAAGTTCTTTTCGGAAAAAGCCCAGCAAGCCACTTCTAAAGCAACAGCGTTACGGTTAAAATTTCAATATGAACCGAGTCGGAATAGCCACAAATTCTGGCTACAAAATCTCCGGAAAAAAACCTGCAACAATTTTTCACAACAAAATCAAAGGCCCACACATCAAATAGAAAGAAAAGGATATAAATCAGAGGGGAGGGATT